CAGCAATTCCGGGAGGCAGCTGAAGACCTAACAGCGGTGCTACAGGACACGATACGCACTAGAATCCCGGAAAACAAGCCGTGCCCGTTCTCGAAAAGATGGTGGAACAATGATCTTAGCCGTCAGAAGACTGAGATAAAGAAGCTAAGTCGTCTCGCATACAGATTCAGGACCCTTCCAGATCACGCGTCGCACACAGAGCTACGGAAGGCCAGGAATATGTACAGCGAGGCGATAGTAGAAGCCAAACGTGAACATTGGGAGGAATTTCTGGAGAACGCGGCGGAGCAGGACCTCTGGACGGCGAACCTCTATTTCAAGGAACCAACAGGCGATGGGGGCAAATCAAGGATACCGACGCTCAAGGTCCCAAGCGAAGGCGCAGGTGGACCACTACGGGAAATCAACACAAATGATGGCAAGGCAGAAATCCTCACACAAGCTTTCTTTCCCAAGAAACCTGACCAGTCCAGAGTCCCAGAGAACTACGATTACCCGGAGCCACTCCCACCACCACCCCCTATCACACTGGAACAAGTGGAACGTCAGATAAAGCGGCTCTCTCCGTTCAAGGCAAGCGGTCCAGACGAAATCCCAAATGTGGTACTCCAGAAGTGTTTCGGACACATCTCGGAGTATCTAGTATATCTCTTCAGAGGCGTCTTCACGCTGAGGACTTACTATTCAGGATGGCAGGAGTTCACAACGGCGGTCTTGAGGAAGCCAGGTAAACCGAACTACGAAGTGCCAAAGGCCTATCGTCCAATAGCCCTGTTATGCACGATACCGAAGGTACTGACAGCTATAGTAGCGGAGAACATAAGCCACCTTGTGGAGAAGGAGTTCCTACTGCCGGACACGCACTTCGGAGGACGACCAGGTCGTACCACGACGGACGCCATACACTACCTTGTGGGCAAGATCAAGGCAGCTTGGGGTAAGAGGAAGGTCACCTCGGTGCTCTTTCTGGACGTCGAGGGGGCCTTCCCCAATGCGGTTACTGACAGGCTAATCCACAATCTGAAGAAAAGGCGAATCCCAACGACCTACGTCAAGTTCATCGAGTGGCTCTTACAGGGGAGGAAGACAAGGCTAAAGTTCGACGATTTTATATCAGAACTCATCGACATCGAAAACGGGATCGGACAAGGAGACCCCATATCGATGTTGCTGTACATACTCTACAATGCGGACCTACTAGAAGCCCTACAAAGACTGGAGGAAGATGCTATTGGATACGTGGACGACGCTCTTGTTATTGCAACGGCGAAAACATTCAAACAGACAACGCGGGCACTCAAGAGTTACATGGAACGACGGGAGGGAGGTTTCGAATGGGCGAAGGATCACAATTCGAAGTTTGAGCTGAGCAAGGTGGCCGTTATGCACTGCCAGCCAACGGCGAGGAAGGAAGGCGATCGACCAAACCCAGTACTCCGGCTAGAGGGGAGTGTGGTGAAGGAAGTGGAGAGCTACAAGTACCTGGGGGTACATGTCGACAGCCAATTGAGGTGGAGAACACAGGAGAACGAAGCGATTGCGAAGGCGACCTCTTACATCCTTATGTTTCGCAGGCTAACGCGCACAAGTTTAGGTATCAGGCCCAGGCTTATGCGGCTACTGTACGTTTCGGTGGCCGTCCCGAAGATGACATACGCGCTCGATGTTTGGTATGTGCCTCCGCACAAGAAGGAGGGCATGCGGAAAAACAGCGGGTCAGTACGGGCGTTGAAGTCCATGGGTAAGATACAGAGGATAGCTACAAAGGCGATCACAGGGGGTCTTTGGACCTCACCAACCGACCTGTTGGACGCGCATGCCGGGGTATTGCCAGTCAACTTAATGCTTGAAAGGATATGTCACGTGGCAACAGTACGAGCGGCGACTTTACCAGATGGCCATCCGACACGGGACATGATACGAGGATACAGCAAGAAGCCGGCAAGAACACACCTCGCCCCCCTTCAGAAGCTGGTCGAGTGCTTCAAGATCAGACCAAGACGGTTCGAGACAGTTATGCCGGACCCAAGGCCACCGACTTACAAGAGGGTCTTCTCAACCAAGATCGCGGAAACAAAGGAGGACTCTATTAAGGAGGAAGGAAAAGACGAGGCAGACATAAGGATATATACAGATGGGTCGGGCTATGAAGGAAACGTTGGCGCAGCTGCGGTGTTATACAGGAAAGGGGTGGAAGAGCCCGAGGAAACGCTTCGATTTCATCTAGGACCGTTGACGAGGCACACCACGTATGAAGGCGAGGCAGTGGGGTCCATATTGGCAGCCTGGATGCTACAGGGACGGCCTGAAGTGGGGAAGGCAACGGTTACCAGCTATACTGACAGCCAGGCATTCATTAGGTCAACGGGCGCGAGAAAGACGAAGCCAGGGCAATACCTTGTAATGGAGTACCTGCGGCTGACTGAGGTAATGACCGACGGAACTGACATCCCTATCAGGCCAGGCACGGCCAAATTCGCACTCAAGTGGGTAGCGGCACATGAGGGGGTAGTAGGAAACGAGAGGGTGGACGAAGAAGCAAAGAAGGCGGCACAGGGGGACTCAAGCCCGCGGGAGGAGCTACCGCCAATACTACGAAGACGGCTGCCATACAGCGCCTCAGCGGTCAAGCAGGAATTCGCGGAGAAGCTGAAGGCAAGGTGGACGGAAACGTGGAGGGACTCACCACGCTACGCAAAATTTCAGCATATCGACGCAAACTTCCCATTCAACAAGTTCCGGAAAATCAGCAACGAACTGTCAAGGCCACAAGCGAGTCTATTGATGCAGCTACGTACAGGACACATACCACTGAACAGCTACCTATACAACATCAAAAAGTCGAGGACCAGGAGATGCGACACGTGTTGGAGCACGAGGAGGATGGAGATCACGGAGACGGTGATACACTTCCTATTCGAGTGTCAAACTTACGCGGCAGAGCGCTTCGATATGGATAGAGCCCTGGGCCGCTACTCGAGGGACCTCAAGGGGATACTGGAGAGTATGAAAAGGATAAAGGAACTGCTCAAGTTTGTGGGGAGAACGAAGCGGTTCAAGAAGTCGCTTGGAGACTCTATAGGTGACGTCTCTCAATTAGAATCCGAGGAAGTTTGAAAGATAGCACTTCCTTTTAGCAGACTTATAACACCGAGAAATGAAGCATGGACAGATTAGCCGACGTTCTGTCGGCGGGTTCGCCCTCAAAAACCCCACTCTATCTTTTACCCGCATTTCAGCTTGCGGACTTCAAGCACTAATCACACTCAGCCAGACCGACCACGTCGAACAGTCACTCAAGCAAACAGCAACAAAACACCAACAATTTTTCATTCACCTGAACGCGCTCGTCCCGTATTAGCTGTACCCTTCGCTTTGCGATCGGGTACTTGGAAGAAGAAACGCGTCACATACAGACTGCATCAGATAAGCAGAGGGACACGAGACTACCCCGCTCACCATACAGACGTGTTCCCAAACGGCGTTTCTGTGCCGGGCTGTGTGGGGGAATGAACGCCTCGGGCGTGCCTTCACCAGTGCAGGGGACAGTCAACGGGGGTCAGGTATAGGGCATTAGGGGCCTTAGGTAGTCTACAAAGTTGTAAAGTCTGACATGGGGCCTCGCCCCAATAGACTATAAATTTGACATTAAAAAAAATAAAATAAAAATAAAAAGCTTTGTACAATTATGCGTGTATGAAACCCTGCTAACTGGCTCTATCATTCAGATTACGCCAGGGCTACGCTTCCGAGCTGCACCAGTTCGCTTTATTGGCCTGGCATATCCCGTGGAGCTACCTATTCACAGCTTGCGGCCTTCATAGAGTGAGCTGCTGTCTTATGATACTTGACGCTCAATAACTTATCTCAGAAATCCGCCCTCTCCTCAAGATTGACGTTGAGAACGATCCAACTTGTCAACACCTCGACCAGGATGAACGAATTCAAGGGATAAAAGCCTAGACGAAGATCAAATGGAGGGCGAGCCTGAGGGGAGGTCCTTTAGGAGTTCAGATAGGACAACGAAAGCTGGACGTGTGGCTGATGCTCGAGAGTGGAAAAGGGCACAGGCTTCTGGTCAAATCATTTTGGATCACGCTAATTTTTAAAACTGACATATCTTTCGTTTTAGAATTGTTAACTCATTCCCGAATCGCTGCTGCATCGCAAGCTTGAAGCTTCCTTGGTGGCGCCATGACCGAGCCAGCTGGGTAGATTTTCCCATTTTCATATATAATCCGAAAGCAAGGAGCTGAAGTGCGAATTGCTGCCAGTGACCAAGCTACCACCTTCACTATCGAACAGTAGCAATAGGTAACAATCTGGCGGCGAGGTTGCAAACAGCAAAGATATCCAGATGTTCGGCGGTGGGAAACCTATATTCTTATGAACCTGATCAACCTGAAACAGATCTTTCTTGCAGAATTTCAATGAAGGCATGCCAGATACACCAATTATCCCAACGTGGACGCTCATGTCCGTTTCCGCCCCACAGAATCTGTTGGACCAAAGTTGACTGGTTGTGCTAAGCGGCGGTAATGTTCTCCATCCCAATATGGAGCTCATGAAGCCCATGGACATTTCGTCTCATTGAGGGGCTCGGGCTCGCAGCTATAATCTGCCATGTTCTATGTGAGGATGTAAGCTATTGTGTCCTATTCATTCATCAATGGTATTGAATTTCCCAGTGTTCCGGAGACGATGATCATGAAGCAAAACCCGTCAGTCTGGATATCAAGTCGCACTCGGCTGATGGAATCATGGGGCCCGCAAGCTGTCGTCGTCCTCTGACTAATGCGGAACTTCGCGCAAAACAAGTAGGAGTCAACCATCAACTCGTTTCTGTTCTTCAGTTGGGACCATTACCCCACTATTACAAAGTAGCTGCATGTAGCCACCTACGAAACCAACCCCCTCAAAAGGCATCTCCTTGCAACAACTGGGGAGTCTGCAATCTCCACATTGCTCCACCCGAACCCTGCTCAAGGTCTTACACCCACCTAGTTGACGGCCAGGTCGTTGACTATCTTTGTTTCACTGTCCACGCCGCAATGGCGTAGCGATTGCTCCATATCTTCTCGCGTCAATTTCTGCTCGTACACTAATCTAATCTTGTTCTGTCCAGCACGGAGATTCAATACCGCTTAACTTCGGTCTGGACGCCTGTAAGTATGTCGAGGCAGGGTGAGCCCGTTCACCACCCAGTCGTGAGGGGATGACCGACAATGACCGACATTTTCGAGGTATTCAAGTGGGGTCAGAGCGCGCGCATAGCCAATCATGACAAATACTCCAAACTAGAGCTCACAGGTAACCCATAACCACCCTTATATACCACCTTGGTCGGCCTGTATACGAATTGAAAACTAGAGGGCCCACCGCAGAGCCAACATTTTCTCCTCCTCCTCCTCCTCCTCCTCCTCCCAGTCGTCCACTGTAGAGAACTGGTACTCCACCCTCCTCAACTTCGGTGGCCTCACATCTTTCTGACCATCATCATTACGACCATCACCGCGCGCCAGACCGACACGTTTCTTCCTAGCCACCCGCCTCTCGCGGAACGCATCATCCTTGTACATCCTCACCATACAGATATCTCATTCACCTGACCATAAGTTTGGGTTTACGTTTGTGTTGGAAATGGGAGTCGTCTCTGGGTTCGTGTCCGCCTTTGAGTCTGGGTCTGAGTCTGCATTCAAACCCAATGTAGTCCGCCCACGGCCGTGGTTGGGTACAATATTCACAACTTCTTCAAGGTCTTCAAGGGGTGCTAGAACACGCGCGTAGTGGAACTACGCACGTCGTCATCTTTTTTTTTTTCAACGCCAGGCAGAAGAGAACTCACAGGCAACCCCAACCCCCCGTCATACACCACCCCCGTTGGCCTGTCTTTAAACCGGACCACACACCAGGTATGACAAAGCCCACACCACACCATGTTTTGCGCCATCTTCAATGTCTTCAAACGCCAAAAGGAGTTAGCAATACGTTCGGTCACCCCAGACCCACTGGAATACGTCCTTCCGTGCAAGGCCAAGCGTTCAACCGTGGAGGAGAGGTGGACAAAGGGTAGCGCGTTCCAGTCAAGTGGGATGGTGAAAAACTGCGAGAGCCAGTCCAGTCTAATGGAGGAAACTCGGAGGAAGGGGGAGAGGTTCCATAAAGTTATGGTGCTGCTGCTGTATGATTGGACGCAGTGAAGGCATCTGACCCATTTACTCCCCAGCTCAGGAAACCAGCCTAAGTCCCGTAAAGGCATTAGATTTACTGAAGATTCGATGTAGAGAGTCTGAGACCACGCTTCGAGCACTAGGGCGCGGTAGCTTTGTGAAGTGAGGCTGAGCGCATCGATCGTGCTCCATCTGGGTTTAATCGAACAGCCAGGCTTTTCAGGAGTCGAGGAGCGCGGTGGGGCGGAGAAGAGCAGGAGATGGATGATTTCTCGGACTAGTTCTAGGGGAGAGACATTGTGTAGACAAGTCTGGGATGTGGGGAACCTTTTAAGACCTTCATTTGTCAGACTTCCAGGCTGTGAGTGTGCCGAGACACGGTGGAGTCGTGATGGGATGACCGATAACCTCGCTTTTCGCATATCTCAATTCAAAGAAAGGGAAATTAGATACCTCTAAGAATCCAGCAAAATTTCCATACCTAAAGTAAGTTGGATTGAAAAACCCCAAATTTCTAAGAACTAAGTAAAACGAATGTGATCTAAGTAGACGATGAAGCGAATGTAGATCAGGACGCAGGTAGTGCTAGAGGAAACTTGCTACTAACCCTCAGAGACGACTAGCAGAATCCACATCATCAGCGTTTCGAGTGGTCAAGAAACTTAGCAAATAACTCACAGCCCTTTCACCCAGCGGAGTCTATCGCAATGTATCCGTTATAGGGGGCTAGAAAGGACATATGAGTGTTATTCTTCTGTGGACCTGGAAAAGCATATTACTTGAGACTCTGTAACGCCTTGTTTTGAGGCCGTCTGTATACATGATCTCGTTAGGCTGGAATGGAAGCCAGTCCGCTTGATCTTTATCTGGGTCTAAAAGGGACTTTAGAACCATGTACTACATGTAATAGATATATAACTTTAGTACCCACAACAATATGCACCCCCCCTGATTTGCTTCGAGAGGCTTCGGTCCCTTTGTTTCGTGTTCTGGGATTCCTTGACCTCTCTCGGACTTGGCTGGCTATAAACAATCGTAGTGGGATGGTCTTCGTCATGCCCTGGATACACTTGAGTTTGAAAAGATATGTAAGCGTCATTATCATTCATTGGAACCTCTCCATCCATGTCTTCAAACAGTTGATGTTTTGATTGACGAATCCCTCGATCTTCATGACCAGAGACCTCAGTGAAGCGAGTGTTTGAGGTGGCGCAATGGAGAGCATGCCGATGCGACCCAAAGAAGAGTCGTCCATGTCAAACGCCGTTTTAGAAGTCATTGCACCCTCTTCGTCGTAGAGGCGGTAATGGACTGGATAGCGATGAGAAACACAAGGTCAATGACAGTGTATCAAAGCGTACCATAACGGGGCTCACATGGTAGAGCCTCGGGTAACCCCACCAGCTGTGCTGTGTTCGCTTTTCGGTTTTTAACATCTTCCACCCGCACCACTAGAACAATCGGGTCATCCTTAGACAACCCGAGCCCGGGATCCTCTTTGACCGCCAATTTGAAAGACTCCGCAGCAGCACTTCGACTAGAAAGCGACTCGGATAGGTACAACTTTTAGCTCCTGACAAGCCCTTGATCTTGCAGATGCGCTTTTTCATGGACGAGGCTGTGCGCGGAGGTGTAATGAGCGTGCGGCTGATGAATGTGTTGTTCGCGTGGATCGGGTTGTTGGACCTGATTGGACCTTCTGTTGTGTATAGGCGGTAATATACTGATCAAACGAGTGCAGTCCTTGTATGAGACTACACGCAAGATCTTCATAAAGGATGAACGCAACTGTAGCGGGGACCACTCGTGTCAAAGGTTTCAGCGTTGATACATTTGAAATTATCGATGTGCGGGCTGGAAGAGAGAGTTTGAGCTAAACGTACAACTTCGCCTCCTCGACCATCCGAGGAGCTTTGCGGTGGCTTCTGGGGACGTCCGTCGGATCCGATCGCATTTGAAACCATTTGAGGTGCTGTCTTCCAAAATTGCTGAAACATGAAAGAGAGAGGTCAACCAGGCGGGCGTCTGATAACGTCCATTTGTATATGTTCCGTGTTGTGCACACTTGACCGTGACTGACAATCGCCAAACAAAGATCGACGCGTTCAAAATCCTTCAAACTGAAGCATTCAGACTGCGATAAGATGAGCAGGCGTAGGTATCACGGCCGGTCCTGATTTTCATCAGTAATGCCTGACTGACTTGGAGCAGCAGCGATTTGAAAGAAGTTCGAGGAGGTGCCCCAACTTGGCGTCCACGCATAAGTCTCCCGGCATCCAAACCCCGAAGCTTCATTACTGTTCTGAAATATTGGCAATTATGCTTCTGAAGAACACTAAGAAAGAAATTCTCTCGGACCCGCTTATGTTGAATAGGCGAGCCTTGACGTGCATGCCCACCCTCCTTTACTTTACCATGCGGTGAGAGAGTGAGGGCCCTTCCTGCCTTGGGAGGGGTAGATCTTCAAGAACTTTGTCGGTGGTTATGGAAGGCGCTCGAATAGAACGTCCTGGCCTGTAATGAATCCAAAAGTCTTGAGGAATAAGCGAATGTCCATATGCCCTGATTCCTTGACCGGTGAGATGACTGGGACATTCCGGCTCAGCAGCCGATCTAGAAGGCCCAAAGACGGGAGGCACCCCATTGCCTGACCTATCCTATTTATAACTCGTTAAGCCACGCTCTCCAATACCACATAAAAACACCCACCAAAACCAAAGACTCAGAAGCTCAGAGTTGATGCAATTCCGAATCTGAGCATCACTGCGGCCACTATCACCATTGCATCCCGAAGCACCTAATGAAGGCCCGTGGTTGATGACAAGTGGAAGGACCTTGGCCGTACATGATTTGAGATCGTGACCAACTTCCGTTGCCGTTTCCCTGCGACCCTATAATTGATGAATTAATATCATGAATTCCAGTGAATGGATGTGGGACTGTAATCGGCTTACTTTGCTCTTTCCTGCACCGCTCATGCCCATCACGCTGAAAGGTACTCAATGTCAAAACAACCCGCTATGAGAATCATTGAAATTGATTACACACAGAATGATAAAGTCGTTGTCTTGTGGCGTCCATTGCTCTTGGCCCAGACAGTAGAGCAGCAGTCGGAAAATCAAGAGAATGTCCTGCGTTAGTCAACGGGTCTTCACCGTGAACACGTCCCCATCTTCTGCATTGCTGAAGTACCGGACTTCCGAAACCTTCTATTTTGACGATCAGAAAGATTGATCGCGTAACAAGAAATGAATTGGGCGCTGACCTTTGACGATCATGGCGTCTCCGCCACTGAAACCCCATTTCCTGGCACTCCATCTCCTACTCAGCTTTCTTGCAGCATGTTATCCCTCGACCCACTGAACTAACCCCCGGCGACACGTGTAGGGAGTGCGCGAAGCGAAGCGTTGCGATTGACGACATTTTCGATATCTCTCCTCTCTGGAGACGAGTCCCACGATAAGGATCGATCGCTCGTGTGCTTCCTTTGCAGTAGGGCTGTCGGTCCTGTTGAAAGGCAGGGGCAAACTCCGTAACGAGAGAAGACGCCTATAAATAATGTAATTTATAGACAGATTTGACAGGGGGAATGGTGGGAGCGTCTAGTAATGAAATGAATGTGTTGTTATCGCACAGTCCCTCGCCTTCCTTTAGACATGGAGTGCACTGCTTGCCGGCGTTCCACGAGTCTGAGAGAACCAGCACCCAAAAATAACAGACCTGATAGTGGGTTTTCATGATCACAAGGATATGTGAACATCCGACTGAACAGGAAGGAGATTCGAACTTGACATGTTCAATGCTGGGAAGAAAAGTGCAACTGGCAGGTTATAAAAACCCCCCAACCGGTCTTACACCACCCAGAAACTCATTCTCCTGCAAAAGTGTACGTCATTTTCGTCGACGTCAATATCAGGATGGTTTTTACCTTCATATCGTGGTTGCAGTAACCACAGACCCCCATCTTCATCTTCAAACTATGCCTTGTGCGTTGCATATCCACTCGTCCTAGCTGGTTGTTCTCTGACACAGTGCACTGCGTAGCCAGCTTCCAGGTCAAGAACAACGGTGAAACCACCGTTATCATCAATCTGGTCAATCCCCCACTTGTGGTGACGGTCCGCCCTGGCGAGGCTTCCCCACCATTCAGTTCCCGTGGAACGTACATAATCCATGCGGAACATGAGACTTTGCCACTCCCCCCGCCTCAGATCGATATCACATTCACTCCAGGAGATCTATTCGTAGCCAAGTCGATCAACGGACCTTCTTTGAAGGTCGAAATTGTTGCAAAGCTCGATTTCCCCAATGGTGATCTTCTTTCGTCATTGAGCCCAGTTGAGAACGCTCATCATCTCTAGCTTGAACGAGTCGTCAAGATTTCAGAATGGAGTTGTTGGCTGAGCTCACCTTGGCTTGAGTTGTTCGTATATGTACTTGTATTCTGCGTTCATAAAATCTTTTTGCTGTTTCGTTGTTGCCACCACAATAATTGAAACCTAGAAGTCCTCCCCGCAGCGTCGAGAGTATATTAAACAAATGCCTGCAGAAGTTGGCATTTCGGTTACTGACATGGAAAGCGGATGTAGTAAGTAGATGCCGACCTGGTCAACGTCACTGGGCACGAATTTCGGCCTTTCCTCTTCCTCTCGCGGCTCGCCTTCTCTTCGCCAAGACGTGCCATGCCAGTCTCGACGCCTGCGGGATTGACAGCTCCCCTGCAAACGCTGATCCCCGCTTTTCTTCAAGAATGTCTCACCCTCCCGTCGTTAGCGCCGCAAATCAAGTTTTCCATTTCAGTTTGAGTGGCTTTGACGAAAAATGGGAACCGATTTGGTCAGCGTTCACTGAAGATGTCCAAATGGCGGTTCAGATAAGAAAGAGGACTTGGTGGTGGTTGTGGATAGTGGAGGTTGGGATAAATCAAGAGGCGGCAAAGAAAAATGCCATCAAAATTCTACAGTTCGGATTCTACGTTATGTAGTACTTTATTGCTACGCGCTGAGCATCGATGTTCTAATGCCATGTGCTCACAGAGAGGACACCATCAATGACGGTCAGGCTATCCAACCAATTGTACTTTTTAATTTGGACGCGTGAGCGGCTTAGCTTAGCCCGACTCCGCGGCGAAGTACAGTAAATGTAATAGGTGATAGCGCACTGAGAGTTAAGAACTTGAACAAAACAGCCACTGTACATTTTGAATCAATCTGAAGTGCCTCCATCTCTCAGTTTGCCTGAATGATCAAGTTGACCGCTTTCCAGGCAGATTCTTGGGAGTTCTCAAATTTATGAACTGTCGATCCTTTCTCAATAAAGTCCTTCCAATATTCGTCAAGCTGCTTGGCCCGCTGTTCTTCGGCCCCTAAGTTGTAAGGGATTGTCCACTTCGTCGTGCATAGAACCACATTCCGCGGATTCGGCTGCAGTTTCGACACAAAATCCAGGACTTTCTTTGTTCCAGAGACAGGGATGCGTGTTAATGATATATCGTGAATGTAGATGATACCAGCGTGGTTTGGCTCGTTTTTGCACCTGGTGTTAGGTGAGTGTTGTTGCCGCCTCGTTTACTTCTAAAAACGTACAGCTTCTTGAGCCCAGAGATGATGCAATTCTGTATCTTAGCATCATTTCCGACATTGTCACCATATCCTGGGGTGTCCACGAGAACCAATCTTCTGCCATTACCTAATGAAGGTTTGATGACGAGTGGAAGGACCTTGGTCGTGCATGGTTTGTAATCGTCACCAACTTGCGTTACCCGGGCCTCCCCTGCGATATAATTGATGAACTGAAAACATGAATTCCAGCGAATGGTTGTGGACTGTAAACGGCTTACTTCGCTCTTTCCTGCACCACTCATGCCCATTACGCTGGAAGGCACTCAACGTCAAAACACCTCGCCATGCGAATCATTGAGATTGGTTACACACAGAATGATGAAGGCGTTGTCTTGTGGTGTCCATTGCTCTTGGCCGAGACTGCAGAGCAGCTGTCGGAAAATCAAAATGAGATTCTCAGCCGAGAATATGTATAACATCTTGTCCGATGCAATATTGAAGAAGTTAAGGACGCGAAGGGAAAATGGAATGCGCATCGCCTTGATCTGGTCACGAACAACTCCAATCAGGGCATTGATCTCATCGCGGCGAGAGGCGTTCAGGCTCTCATCAGCCTTGGTCTCTTCCAGGGTTTTGATCAAGGTTTTGAGACTAAAGCGTAGCTCTCGGCCCGCCTCCGTATCCGGAATCGGTTTGCGGTCGTCAACCAATTCTTTTTGAATCTGAAGCGCCGTCATCTTTTCACGGTTTGACTCGATGATCAAATTGACCACCCTCCAGGCAGACACAAATCGACAGGAGTTCTCGGGGCTCATAGCCAGGTCAGCGGGCAATCCGACGTTCTGGTCATTTAGTGCAAGAACGGTCGACCCGTGCTCAATCATCTCCTTCCAGAAAACACCCTTAAGATGCTCGGTGCGCCTCTCTCCGACTTCTTCTTCGACTTGCGACCACTTTGTCGTGCAGAGAACCACATGGCGGAGAGCACCATCCCCGCAGAGTTTCCGAAAAACATCCAGGTTCCTTCTAAGTGACCCCTGCATGCGTGCCTGTGATATATCATGAAGATAGATGATACCCGCGAGCTTCGTTTCTTTTTTGTGGTACCTGCTGTCAGGTAAATGTCACTGCTGCCTCTTAAGTCTTGGGAAACCCACATATTTTCGAGCCAAAGACTGATGCTATGCAATATGGCAGTGTCGTCGACGCAAGTATCATCAAACCCTGGGGTATCCACGAGTACCAATCTTCCGCCGTTCAGCGGAGCGCTTTGTGAAGAATCGATGATAATTGGGCAAAGTTGGATAGTGCGCGAGCAGAGGTCGTGACCGACCTCTGCTACCTCTCTCCCTGCGATGTAATTGATGAACTAGAAGCAGGAATTGTCTCAGGAAGGCTGTGAAGTACGACTCAGAAGTACATACAGTGCTTTTTCCGACACCAGTTGGGCCCATGATGCTGAAAGATAATTAGTTTCAAACCACTCAAACGCACAAATCACTCACGGGATAATAACGTCGTTGTCTTTTGGCATCCACGTACTTTGTGACATGGTTTTCCGAATGGACGTAAACGACGATAGAGGTGGGGAGACCGGAGTAGTCGCTCAGGAAACCGACGACCGCCTTTTGAGAGTGTGTCTGTCAAGCTCGAGGTGGACAGCAAGTCTGCCTCGTGTTCGGGAACAGGCTGTCAATACACATGTTCAAGTTTCGACTCGTTGGATCTTCATCGGTTATCGGAACCGATCTGTTTCAGATGTCTCAAACGAGTGGAACCCACCAATCAACAAGGATCTGAAGCGAATTTGGTGTTCGCACATTAACAGTGAGATGATTTCAAGTTGCCACGGGAAGGCAACCTCCATTTTGGGTTAAACATTCGCAGTACTGCGCCTGCACTGTCCGTGAATTGTTGATTGCGACCTCGGAATTGAAGCTTGAGAGCTCCAGAGCGCGTTGGAAGTTTGGGAATCTTGATGGAATTCAAATTTGCATCACCAGACCGTTGACCTCGCTACAAAGCTGGGTGCATGTGTGATTGCAACGGCGGTCGCTTTAGACCAAGGAAGGTATACATATGCCGTAGAGGCATAAACTGCCTTGCGTGCCCAGCAACAGTGGTTCCCGAGGTAAGCCCACCACCTCCCAAAACAACAATCGCGGGCGGCTCTTCCCTTGGAGCAGCAGTCGGCTTGTGTCATATGACCTTCGGGTGCCCGACGAGGGGCAAATGACTTTTTCGGGAGGGGAGATCGAGGCAGTGGAAGATAGAAAAGAAGCATCCATCTTTGTATCACTGGAAGGGCCGAAGGGCCGAGCACCAGTCAGCGAAATAACAAGGGGACTGGGGGGCGATTGTGCGGTTGGCAGGCCTAAGGGTTTGTTGCAAACCGGCTTGTTGTTGTTGAACAGAGATTGGTCGAGTGACACGGCAGACTCGTTACGTACGTGAGGCTACACGCAAAAGGGCGGAGGGCATGAATACCCTGTTTGCATACAGCTGCAGCGAGACGGCGTCTGCGCCGGATGGAGAGCCATATATGTCATGGAACCCGGTAGGCGGACGTTGTGGAGAAGAAAACGGAATGGCATCGAGACCAACACTATATATCTTGTGTTGGGAGTTCTGATTGCTCCCAACGCCGACTTCTTGGCCTGATCTCTCGCACCAGACGAACGTCGGAATAGACGTTCGCATTCGTCTTTCTCCTGCGCTTCCCGATCTTCCTTGAGTTCTTTCAAAACTTGACCGAGATCGTTGCGTAGATTGTTTCCCGCCTGCGTGGCGGCAATGAGTTTAGTCGAGGACAAAATTGGATAATGAGTGGCGACATGATGGATCAAGTAGGATGTTTCCAGCCAACTTCATGTCCATTTTCCATCTTTGGTTCCACAAAACCCCGAAATATCCAAGGTCGAGTCTCCTTTGACAATCCCTCCAACTCCCTAGCCTCCTCACTTTGGTCTTGCGACCACCGCATGCCATAACCTTCTGCCACTCTCACTTCATACACCAAAATTTGATGTGGAAGCCAGTGCAAGTTCCTCCACGTTGCAGAATCCATTACTTTCCAGAATAACGCCAACGCTCGTTCGTTGATCATGGCGACAGGTCCAGAAGGGGTCCCCCACCATCCAGTGCTACGTTTCCGCTTGTCTTTCTCTGTCTCGTCGACGGGTTGCGAGCGGTGCGAGTGCTTCGACCAGGCTCTTGCGCCTGCGGTCAGCTTAGCGCTGTTGGGCACGAGAAACGCGGAAAGGCAGCTCCCTGTCGAAGGCGGTGTGGATCCTAGCGCGGAGCCCACCGTGTAGGCCAAACCATGCTCCAGGTGGGCGAAGAGTTGTGGTGAGGTTTCCGCGTCACCAGAGTCTATCGTTGCGGTCTCAAGGGTGGAGGATCCTTTTTGTAACATGTTTTCATTTCGACTACGAAGTATCGCAGCGACGCGATTTCTCTCCTGGGAAGCGGATGGGACTTCTTGCATCCCATAACAGTGGGGATCCTGCAAACTCAAAAAGCCTTGGCCCGGCGTTTGAAGTTTTGGAGGCGACAAGATCTCGATAGACGTATCCCTGAGCGATTCGCTCATCTAAGACTAGCACTAGTCGAGCAAGTTAAGGAAAGGGTCGCGTTAAAGAGAATTGAGTATCGTATGGTATCGTGCACGTTATCGGTCTTTCTGATTGGCTGACTTCAATTGATGTTCAGGTTGCAGTTTGCGTCTGTTGAGATGTGAAGCCTCCGAGTAACAACCATTCAGACTACAACTTTCACCAGGGGTATTTCGCCACAATATTAATCGGACGGTGGCTTTTGGGTGGCTTATCTTCCTGTCCTGCACTCAAGTGACGTGATTATAACAGAATGAGGGCCTGAATAGGTTTTTTCAAGATAAGAGTGGTCACGATGCTCTGCTGACCAGTGCTGACCTCGAGCGTCTACACACTTCCCGATTCTGGTGGCGTTCCTCGATCGCCGAGAGAAAAGCGGCCCGTGAAATGGTTCAGCAGAGTAAGTAAATCGCCTGAAATTGTTTCGTCGACAGACAGAACAAACCAACTTCCACAAAAATATTCACCAGAAGATCTTGAAAGGAATGACAACGTCGAACGAGAAGTTGTGGTCAGAAGATAGTAGACCGTGTAATGCCGTTCCCTGATCGATATTTACAAGATAACAGCCTACAGGCCCACTGCAATGTGCATTTGTGAATCACTGTGCCGCCATCAGGGTCTTGACATCGGAGTCAAGAAAATTTGGAGGCCGCTTTGTAAATCTGCGGGAGATATAGTTTAATCGAATGGGTTAGAGGCCAAGAGATAATCGATAAGGAGGTGGGGCCTGGTGTGGCTACATAGCAGTCGAGAAATCAGTTGGAGCCAAGTTGGAGCTTAAGAGTGGGCCGACGAGGTCTCGTGATCTATTCGCTTCTTTCATCCACATCCTCACTCCAAGTTTGTTCAGCGAATAAGTCTAACTCGACTCTACTGGCAGCCAAAAGGTCGCTTATCGTTTGGCTCCTTGTGTCCCACATAAGCTATGACTCCTTCAGCTTGGCGTCTTGGATCGGGGGCGTTTTGTTGACTGGATAACGCAGGGACGACTCTTATCGTGGTGTTTCTTTCAACCATGAGATTCATTCGGGAAGAGATCAGGTACCACAGCTAGCGCCTCAACAGATACCTGGTGGTTGTGTGGGACTCTCAAAGCCCTCCCTTCTTTCTTATCAGTGCTGAAGAGATAACGTTATAAAAGGCTCTCTATCTCGGGATGTCAGTCTTCTGATCTTCTTCGGCACCCAAGGTTGCAAGCAGCCTTCGAAGAGACTCAATTCATCCTCAAGTCATCATGCCGGACACAATTCTTCCGCAAGGTGCTGGGTATGGCGTCGGTGAGTGATGACTATATTCCCTCTATTCAGACAAGGAACTAATGAGTGCGTTTTAACCTAGTTGTTGGTAAATATATTTTCTGTCGCAGTCGTTGCCTTGCTAACATTGAACCATCTCCTAGGAATTGGTCTTTTCTTCAGCGCCTTTATGATCTTTCTGACGGCGATTCAAGCCCGATATACCGCCTTTTCTCCTAAAAGTTCAGAAGAATTCACGAGTGCTTCTCGAAGTGTCAAGCCTGGATTGATCGCATCCGGAATTGTGTCAGCATGGACTTGGGCAGCTACGCTGGTATGTGTCCATCCAATATATCATGACTCTCGTTGAATCATCCCTTTTCAGCTTCAAAGTAGTGCGGTGGCGTACAAATTCGGTAAGGACATTGAATGCAAGAAGTGCATCTGCTTTACTGATTCACTGGTCTTCAGGTATCAGCGGACCTTGGTGGTATGGTGGTGAGTTTTGTTCTCGTTGACCAACCATCACATGGCCTGAATGAGAGTCAGCCGGTGCAACTGTGCAGATTCTGCTCTTCGCTATGGTGAGTAGCACTCACAACGCTTTTTCTGAACCTGCTCATCTTAATGTTACATTTAGCTCGCAGCTAAGCTGAAGCTTAACGCCCCTTACGCTCACACTTGGCTGGAGATCGTGGGTGTCAGATGGGGCAAAACAGCCCATCTTGTCTTTATGTTCTTCGGGTAGGCAACTTATCTTTTCCTCAGTCAAGCCAGTAAAACCATGTCTCTGTCCCAGGCTCGCCACCAATATCATCGTCAGCTCCATGTTGATTCTGGGTGGATCAGCCACCGTAACAGATTTGACTGGTATGAACACCATTGCGGTCAGTGTAACCTCTTATGACTGTAAGCTCTTCGTTGATGGGTCTCATTCAGGCTTGTTTCTTGATTCCTCTCGGTGTTGCCATCTACGTTGTGGTAGGAGGCATGCGATCTACTCTTCTCTGTGACTAGTCAGTGCTCTTCTATCTCCTGTATCAGAAATATAACTAAACAGATCATAGCACTCACACCACCGTTCTCTTTGCGATCATCCTCGTATGCATGCCCCTCTCCAGTCCCTCCTTGTTCCAGCTAACTTTCTTCCAGACCTTTGTCTTCACCGTGTACTCTACAAGCAACAAGATAGGGAGTCCCGCGAAGATGCATGAGCTGCTCACCGCCGCATCTGCCGCTACCCCCATCCCCGGAAACGCACACGGCTCATATATAACTATGAGATCGAAGAACGGCCTCATCTTCGGTGTCATCAACATCATCGGCAACTTCGCCACTGTGTTCCAGGACCAGGCTTATTGGCAGCGTGCCATTGCCAGTCGTCCTGCGAGTACCGTCAAGGCCTATCTTCTTGGTGGTCTAGCATGGTAGGTAGATTTGTAATTCGCAGGGGCCCTTCACTAACGCATATGGCTGATAGGTTTGCTATCCCCTTCACTTTTGCGACAACGCTTGGTTTGGCAGCCGTGGCTCTTCGTGGCGATCCTGCCATGAAAGTTCTTACCCCTGCCGATGTTTCAGCGGGTCTTCCTGCTGCTGCTGCCGCCGCTGCGCTGCTCGGGAAAGCAGGAGCTGCTGCTATCCTAGTTCTTCTCTTTTTGGCCGTCACAAGTGCGTGTTTATGATTCGATTCATTGATTGTTCGTAATTTACGTGACCTTTTCAGGTGCTACCTCTGCTGAACTCATTGCTGTGTCGTCAATTTTGACCTATGATGTCTACAAGGTAAGTCTTCTCTCTATTTTTTGAGAAGCGTAAAGTTGAGCATTATTGACAGACCTACATTAATCCCAATGCCACTGAGGAGCAGATCCTCAAAGTCGGTCACGCAGCTGTATGTGTTTGGTGTAAACCTTTTTCGTCGTCCACTGAATTCTCTCAGGTTGCGCTGTACGCTGTTGTTTGTGGACTGGCGGGCCTTATCTTCTTCTACATTGGCGTTTCCATGGGCTGGCTTTACGTAGGTTCAACTCTATTAACAAACCGTCTGATGTTGACGCAGATATAAAGACCTTTATGGGGGTCATCTTAGGCTCTGCAGTTGTGCCTATCGCTCTTTGCATTACGTGGAGCAAGGCCAATAAGTGGGGTTGTATTGGTGGCTCTATCGCAGGGTTCGTTGCGGGAATTGTGGCATGGCTCGTCACCACGTCGACTCTCAACAATGGCGTCATTAACGTTGTTGTATGTTCATTCCACCTTTTCTTATGTATGCAGCTGATCATCAATTTCTCAGACGAGTGGAGGTATGCAGAGTCTAGTCCATGTCATATACCAGAAGGTTTATCAACTTTGTTAGGGGACTACGAGATGCTGGCTGGCAATTTGGCGTCAATAGGTGTAGGAGCTATTGTCGCTACCCTTTCGTCCCTTATTGTGAGTGTTCTAAACGCACCATTTCATTTGTGCCCTAAATCGCATCTAGTGGCCGGATAAATATGACTGGGAGAGTACTCGGGCTATCAATAAGCCTGCACAGGCCACATCAAAGCGTACCGAAGAGTTGAAGGCCGACAGTGACAGTGAGAAGAAGGAGCACGAGGTGGTTACCAAAGCTGGCTCTATCGCAGGGGAATCTTTCGACGCCGCTGAAGAGGCGGACGAGCTCGACCCCGTGGCGCTCAATAAAGCCTTCAAATTTGCGACTTACTCTTCAGTTGGTCTGGTATGGCATCTTCGTTTCTTGATGTTTCCGGATTGCCGACTCATCGCTCTATTGGCAGTTCATCGTCCTTATCATCCTCGTCCCTCTTCCTCTCTTCTTCTCCCATTATGTCTATACCACCGCTGGCTTGACAGGTTGGGTTGCCGTTGGTATTGCTTGGACCTTCTGTTCTGCCATCACGGTTGTGATCTATCCTCTGTATGAGAGTCGGCATGCGATACTCCTTATTACGAAGGGTATCTTCAAAGTAAGCGCTCTTCCTTTAAGCTTGTGTGTTTGAAAAGCTGAACGTTGTTGTAGGACCTTTTCGCTAGGGGAAGTGGCAAATATGTTGCTGACCCGGGGCCTACGTCGGCTGCGTGATTCCCCTCCTCCTCCTCCTCCTTTATACATCACTGGTAGAGAAAAAACGACCTTGTATGAATGTTATGTCTGCGTTACGATGTACATATCTTTTTTTGATGTTTTTGTCGGTAATGGTTTGGATGAAATATATACGAGAGCATTCGGCGATATCTTCTTCATGATCGCTTTCGAACGACACCTCCGTGCACTTTGGCTGCCGGGCACGATGTGGAGACTCATCGGGTCGCTGGTGTGGGGTATTCGAAGTAGAGCCTGACCAAATAGGGCAAGTCTATAAACCGTGGTGCCTGATCTGACCTTTGCTTTCTTGGCGGTTGCCTGGCATTATTTTTGTTCGTCGTTTATGCCTGTCTCCTGACCACGATGCTACTCTCGCGGAGCAGGTTACGCTCCTTGAAACTTCTCCTCATCGTCTTCGCCGTCGCCGTTCTCTTCACCAGTGTACCATGGCTTCGCTCTCTCTTGCCAGGCAAACTTGGCGCGACACGTCCAAAAAATACCCCATACCGATTCACCGTTCCCAAGCTCCCATCTCGCAAAGATGCCCGACCTCGAGTTGACCAAGCACCCACTATACCTCCCAAGAAAGTCGTCGAACCACCTAATCCGGTCGCCAACCGCCTTGGCCAACATAAGTATCGCCCGGATGGGTTGGTTGAGGTCAATGAGGAGGGTGTGCACCCGATATACGAGCTCATTTCTCGTGCGGAGAAGGAGTGGCAGGGAAAGCTTGATCGCGCGAGCAAAACTCTTGATCAAGCAGTTGCAGAGTACCGCAGGAGGTATTCGCGGGCACCACCCAAGGGATTCGAGCTTTGGTGAGTCTTGGTTCTTGAGCGTGTGTGTAGACGAGGGCGGTATTGGTCACCCTGCTACGACGTTTAGAGGGAAATTCTGTCAGTCATGTTCAGCAGACGCTACGCTTGTGGTCTGTGATCTCTCGCGTGCGTGCAAATGGTTGACGCAATTATGAGCTTCGTGTATGCTATCGGCTATGGGCATGAAATTTCTACGAAGATGCCGCTGTTCGTGGTGGGTCGACGCTGAAGAAGCCTGACGGGTATTCTTCTCGGGCGCCTATGTCAAAATTTCGTGGCTTTATGTGCCAGCGAGGACATCTCGCCCCTAGTTCTCTCTGACATGCTTTGTGCAATATTTCTATCACGGTACTGATTACATGCAGGTGGGACTACGTGCAAAAACACAACGTACAACTTCCAGATGAATACGACCAAATGCACAACGACTTGGAACCGTTCTGGGGCCTGGAGCCGCCCGACTTATTCGAGATCCAAAAGGAGCTTGAAAAGAAGAAGGATTCGTATACCCTGGGCAAGACAAAACAGAATGATCCAGTCAGCGTGCTCACCTACGCGTTTGACGAAGGCCGCTACGACCAGCTGATTTATGGCTCCGTCAACATCGTCAAGCTGTTTCGAGAGATCCAAGATTTCCTTCCTCCCTTTCGGGCAACCTTTTCGCCGCATGATGGACCTAATCGGTTATCAGATTATGCCGTGAAATTAGCCACACTCGAGGCTGCCCATTCACAATCTTGTATGTCCACATTTTCAGACAACCTTGACAACTGAACTGACGAAAGTCATTAGACGTTGAACGTGCCGCACTCCCCAAGATCAACTCGATAGGCTGGATCTCCGCCTGCGCACCCTCCTCCCCGGCCCGCCGAAGGCCCATCGACCTAAACAAACCCCCACCTCCACCCTCCAAAAAGACGTTCATCTACAACCACTTCCAAGCGATGGACCCGTGCCTGCACCCGGACCACCTGCACCACCACGGGCAGTTCCTCTCCCACAACACGGGCCCTACACCCCAACAATCCATGGTCCCCGAGTTCTCCTCCTGCTCCACGACGATCCACCACAACATCCGGATACCCACTCCGTACGGGTGGGTAGCGGACTCTGACGACCCAGCGTTCGACGATAAATTCGACGAGAGGCTTTTATGGCGCGGGAGCAACACGGGGATGTTCCACGCTACCAAAACCCGCTGGCGGAATCAACAGCGCATCCATTTGGTGAGGTCTGCGAATGATTTGAATGGGACGATGAGGGTTATCCCCCCCGACCGGAGTCGGACGGAGAAGATTGGGGAGATGAGGGAGGTGAGGAGGGCGAGATTGAATCCTGCTGTTATGGATGTTGCGTTTGCGGGGAACCCGATTGCGTGTTCGAAGAGTGTTTGTCCGGTTTTGGAGGAGCTTTTTGAGTGGAGGGATTATCAGAGGGAGAAGGAGGCTGGGAGGTATAAGTATATTATTGATGTGCGTGTCTTTTTTTTTGTTGTCTTGAGTGAGAGGAAGGCTGACAGGTGTCTAAGGTCGATGGGAATGGCTGGTCAGGTCGGTTCAAACGCCTAATGACGACCAATGCGCTCGTATTCAAGTCGACTATTTATCCCGAGTGGTGAGTTCTCCCTTTCCCCCTTTTCCCCCTCCCATGTCCCCCATTTCTAACGCGATGTTGGTTGATAGGTACACCGACCGCGTAGCCCCATGGGTACACTACATCCCCATCCAACTCGACCTCTCGGACCTACACGACGCCCTCCTCTTCTTCAGGGGCGATGCGAATGGGGACGGGGCACATGAAGATATGGCACGGAAGATTGCGGTTTCGGGACGGGAGTGGAGTAAGACGTTTTGGAGGAAGGAGGACTTGACGGCTTATTTTTTCAGGTATGTTTTCTTTTTTCTGATTTATTTTTTGTTGATGAACACTAACGCTGTGATGTGATAGGTTGATGTTGGAATATGCGCGTCTTATGAGCCCTGATAGGAAGGCTATGTCTTATAAAACTGCGAAAGAGGAAGGGAAGGCTTGAGCGAGAGGGTGCATGGGGTTAATTCTATCTGGTTCAGTGGGTGCACTGTTTTTGAAGTGGGCGTGTGTGTTCTCTTTTTTTTTTTTTCGTGCTTAATACCCTTGTGTCCTCAAATTAAAATACGTTGTCGCGGTCGATAGTAGGTAGTAATTTAAGCTGTATATGTAACTCGTTCTAGCTTGTGGTGTGGGATTAAACTATCCAGAAACCCCCCTTTCCACGTGAAACCCCAAGGTTTCTATCCAACCACTTCAGAAACCTGGGGTACCACAAGCAATCACTGATGGCCGATGGTCAAAATATTTGAGGTCCGACTTCCCTCGAGGCTCGGCAGTGGCCCTCCAACATTCCGTTTGGGCATTCAGACAGCCCATTCCCGCGCCTCAACAGGCCCCGGGAAGCTGCCCTTATGTCTGTGCGTCAAAATGGTCCAAAAACGGCCTCAAATATGCTATTTTTCACGTCCAAAATATGCTATTGCGTACAAGGATGTCACATTCCCACGAGGTGACTACTTACATGTGACTCTGCCAAAATGTGACAATCTAATTAGCTCTCATACACAACTAGTATTTTGCCGCAATACGGGCGCCAGGAATGCATCTAGGAAGACTTAGCTACCTCCTTTCGACTCAGCGTTAATGTTGTCCAATGTAGTGCGGCATCAGTTGACAATGACATAATGGTCCCCGATTTCTGTTCAAATGGCATGGAGAGAGGAATGAGGGCAGTTGACCTGAGATGACTCTACTGGCTCTTGCTTGAGTGCTGGTGTCGTCCATGTTCAAGGTGCACTTTGAGATATTCGTCACGGCACAAGTTGCAAGTAGCCATATTGCACCACCATTTTGCACCGCCGCCGCCAACCTTCCTTGCGTTGATTTTTTTTTTCTTAGAATGAGTCCTCAAATATGCTATAAGTAGATAGGAATATCGCGAAAATCTCCAGAAATTGTCTCAAATATGCTATAAACGCAGAGGAATATTACGATTTTTGGCCTCTGAAATATGCTATTTTCGCACAGACATAGGTGGGAGCTTCCCGGGGCCTGCCTCAACTATGGTAAGAACTTTTGAATTCCCTCGCAATTCCAGTTTCAATTGAGTGACTAGATCTCTCCATTAAGAGCCCGAATGGTCCAAGGTTTGCATCTCCCTATTTTCCATTTCTCTCCTCATTTGACATCGTTTCGGATGATTATGTCACATGTAAAATTCAAAGACCGACTTGTCCAGCACTGCTTAATTCATCTCCGACATAGGGTTTCTATAAATACTTCTTTGGGTTGATGATGGGGGGGTTCTACCCGACAACGAGAAATCCTAGGGTTTCTGCTGGAAAGGGGGTTTCTGAGTAGATTGATCCTGTGGTGTGTGGTGTGTGGGTACCAGTTTGATGATTGATCTCGGTTGAGTACTAAGTAGTGGCTCGAGCTCGGTCAGATGACAATACCCTGGCAATGGTTTTAAAATTTTGTCAAATGAGTTAGTGGTAACGTTCGATTTGCATCATCATATAATCCGTCTTCAGGTGCACAGTGAGGAGGTCAGGTTGGGGCAGGGCAGTGGACCCGACCTTGTGGACCCATGCTGTACGCCGCGCATGGAATTCGAATCAGTTTGAATCACAGGGGTTTGAATTTCTGATTAGCCTCGAGTTCGGCAAAGATGGAATTTGGGTGGCTTCGCGATGGGTTACCAGATGTTACAGAGGTACCTTAGTACGGTGGGTGTCAAGTGGGTGTAAGTGGGTGCACATATCCGACTCGCCTTTTGTTTGGAGCGAAAATTTGAGGGGTTCGCGTGCGTCTTTCAATATCTTTCGTACAGCCCTTTGTGAATACGACAAAGAATGTAGTAGTAAGAGGTAGAGGTATATTCCGGACCGGTCCCAATGAGGAACAACCAGTTCCTGATACATACTAGTTGTAGCGTCTAACAAAATACAACTATGCTACAGATGGGTTACTGGCAGCTGTTACAGACCTTACGGTGGGTGTAAGTGGGTGCAGGTATCGTGGGTGTAAGTGGGTGCACGCATGATCCGAGTCGCCTTTTCTTTGGAACCAAAATCAATGATGAAAATTTGAGGGCATTCTTGGGGCATTCGCACATCTTTCAATATCTTTCATACAGCCCTTCCTGAATACTGAATACAGTAGTGCGTGGGTTGAACCAAAGCTGAACAAATGTTCAACAAGTTGTGCCGAACATCGGGGGTTTCTCTTCAGATTTATGACCAAATTCAGTTGTACAGCTGCATCTAGCTGCATTTCCTTCTACCGACTTTAGCTGCAACTACACTGACAGTCCCCACAGTTGACTGACAGCCCATCATGCATCAGCACTTCAGCGCCTGAACAAACTGCCAGCCAATAAATACCCCATCATCAGCATGCTAGGTCCCTCAGGCAGGCCCTCTCAAGAAACCCATCTTTCGCTATCCTCTCTATCATGCGCTGGTCGCTCATCCTATCCACCTTCATAGCTGCTCAGTTTGCGCTTTCTTTCGCCGCTGTCATACCTCCAACAGACCAATTGCAAAGACGGGGGTGCGGTGGGGCTAAAGTGTCCAGCAAGACCTATCGCAAGAATTCTGAAGAGCATCATTATGCAAATACACAAAACTCAGCTACAAAACTGCCAAGAAAACAGCTAAAGAGCTTGACCATGCACTCAGAGACGTGAGTTTATTCCAACCTCTGGTATACCAATCTTTGATCAAACATTGGACTTGCAAAGGGTGGCTACAAGTTTGGAGAAAACACTTTCCGACGCAAGCTACGGATCACGATAAACAAAGCAAAGATTATGAAGTCTAACGATCCCAGCCCAGCATCCTCAAGGGCATCGTCACCTGGTTCTAAGGCTGGTTCAACCAAGGGGACTCCGAAACGTCCAGCTCGTGTCATCCCAGCAGGGCAACCTGGTTCCATGCTGGTTCGACCAAGGGGACTCCGAAGCATCCAGCTCGTGCAGTGGGGAAACCATGGTCACCGGCAAAGGCGCCAGCCAAAAGCTCTGGTCGCATTGCAGTGAGGCCACCAATGAGCTATAAGAAGATGTTCTAATGGGCGAACTTTTTAGGTTGTAGATAGAAGCGAAAGCGTGTAGTATAGGGATAATGCGATATATGTCTCTGAGAGATGGATTAGGATGCCAGGTCGCAGGCAAACTTGAAGGATGTGGGAGGTACTTAGATCTACAACTTGAAGACTGCAGTCTGCACTATCACCTAGTACATTTACTGTACTTCGCCGCTCATGCGTCCAACAAGTACAACTGGCTGGATGGCCTGGCAGGGATGCTGTCCTCCCCATGTGTACAGTGGCTCAAATTTGGTTCTAACTTGTTTCTCACAGACACCTCTGTCTGTAAACCAACTCGAGAGGTTTTCTGGGAGAACACTGGCAGTGTGTGGTATCATTCCAGCACACTGCAATGATACATCCAGCAAAAAACGGTGCTCAACAAAAATGGTGAAGTTGAACGAAGCCTATTAAGTACCAGCGGATGCCAGTGTTAACCCAAGTCGGACTGGGTGCTTCTTACTATACCACAATACCTGGGCTCTTATTTGACTACAGGTGTTTAAATAAAGTCTTGTCCAATTTCTCGCTTATGCGACTGTATACATGTATGGGTCATGATAACTCTGGCGCTCACCCTATTAGGCTCCTGACATAAGTTGTTGTAGTGAGCTCGAAGGTATCAATCTCCAACGTTGAAATTTTGAAACTCCTTTGACTACCAAGGTTGAAGTCCAAGGTTCAATTCTTCGAGACCTCACATGGGGTAAGGAAATGAAGCCGAGATTCATCTGTTTGTTTCTATAGAAGGGTGCTTTACAAAGGTGTATTCAAGAAAGGTATCCATCAGACAAACACTCAACTCGCTGGCAAGTTCTTCAAGCAGCTTCAAAAAGCACGCCAATGAGCTCACCAAACGTCCTCGAGGCCCTGCTTGCGCAAAGCCATGTTCTCGTTATAACAAGTGAGCATTGAAGTCATCCAGTGGATATGAAGATCCGGCATTTGTAAAAATGCGAGACTCGGGTCAGTTTCTGTAAACAGATCCTGTTCGAGTGATGAGTGTCCCAGCCAGTGGGCTCGCAGCGTGTGATGCGTGGGTCCAAGAAACAATACGCGAGCGAGTTACCGTCTACATCTACTGCACACTTGGCTGCGAGGGAATGGAGCAAGCCGACCAGACCAACAAGTTGGGTTCCAAAAGTGGGCACAAATCTTTGGAAAGTCTGTAAGGGAAGCTGTCGTCTCTGCGATGTGGCTGTATATTGCGCCATCTCCAACGTCTGGGGACTGAAAGCCCTCCAAAGACACCGTTGTCTGCAGCTCCAACTCAAGTGGCTTCCCTGCAGAAATTCGTATGATTTCGTCACATAATCCGACCCAATCTTGCTCAAGACAGCCACCAAAAGGGTGCTTGCCGGAGATGTCAAGGTCGAATGAGAGGTTCGTGATTTGATTGGATGCAGATATCTTACTGAGGACGATATTGATATCGCAGAGAGCACCGGACTCTTTTTCATTGCATTTGATAATGGCGTAAAGCGCAAATACGCGCAGGCGTGAAAGATCTTTGAGGTTCAAAAGTCCAGCAAGTGAGAGTTGTTGAGCTTTGTCAGAAACGTGTCAAATTCGCTTCCCTTAATAATAAAAAAACGCTGCACCTACATTCACCCACATGTAAGCTAGTGAGATACAATTCCTCCAGGGTATTAGAAGCTGCATTGAGGATAGGTTGCAAACAAGCCATTTCTTCCTTCTCGTGTGGGGATAGGGTCAGAACGCGTAGCCTTGACCAAAGGACCACTGGCATATGAAACCTAGGCGGTGATGTGATCATCTGTTTTACGAGGCTGTGCGAGTTGCAGTAGTTGAAAACTTCTAGTGTTGGCAAATTTCGGTCTCAGCTAGAGCAATATTCCTCTGGGTATTCATCGTAGCTCTCTTCAGTAACTCCCACGAAGTCAAGGCGTACTTCTCTCAACTTGGGGCAGATGAGGAAAATAGGCAATGGCATGTTCTTGCATTTGGTGAGGTGGAGGGTAGTCAGGGTTTGCGAAAAGAATGATTGTGTGAGCCGTCCCACGAATAGTATGGGGTCCTCGATTGTTAATGGACCGGACATAGGTCTGCCAAAGTGAAGTTCATGTGGCGGCATCGGCGACTTGGCGAGCAGTTGGAGGATGCCAATGAGGGTGGAATCGTTGAGAAGCCATGCATTTCATTCGTGCAAGACAACAATCTGAATCACACGTACACGGTTGGTGAACGAAGGATTGTCGTTCAAAATCTTTTTCTTCTTTGCTAGCTGCTTCGATATCTTTCTCTTGGTTCCTGAACCCGCGCCCAGCTCAAGGCTCCGAAAGATGTATGTTTGGCATATCTGCATAAACACCCGATCCGTAAGAGAGAGATTATGGATTGGTTCTTCCCAAAATGTGAGGTTTGAGATATGTTCGACGATGTAAGCAAGCAGATCATCTGAGAGGAGAGAAAGCGGTGGGTTCAACATGATAGCGAAGGTAAAGACCAAGGACGGCGACCAACTTTGTGCCTCCCAGTGACGCTAGCTAGTACATAGTGACGCTTAACAGTACTAGTACTAACTACTATGTCCACAACTGATTGATCAGAGTTTGTACTAAAATGTTTTCTCTTCATTGGAATCACGGAATTTGTGGTCAATGTCGGACTTTCCTATTTTAGCTTACAACCGGTATCTACTGGTTACAACCATTCCAATCGCCGGTGGCTGTCTCAATTGCTTGAAATGGAAGAGTGTTTGGTTCAAATCGGGTTGGAACCAGGGTTGAGTCCAGATTCAACCAGGCTCCCCATACTAATATAGCCATCAATAAATTTACTGATCGACTGCAGGCTCCTAAAAGCAGCTGCTCGTCTTGCGATGCTTTCGTACCCAGGAGGAGAACTAAATATCTGATGGTTATATAATCTGATGGGGAAGACCAAATAAACAAACATAAGAACGAAAGCTTGTGAGAGAGCGGCTGCCAGAAAATGTACTCGGTGAGCTCGGACATCATTGATTAACCCTATTGTTGGGTCCCAAATCCAAGCTATGTAATCAAAGAACCAGACACGTCACATTTCGGTCATGAACACTGTTGATGGTTGGCACTAGGTGTGTAAGGTCAACATCGAGGTTGTTGTAGGCGTACAATGTGAGGAGGATTCTCCCAAGCTTGCGAATGTTGAAGCTGGACTACTGAGAAAGGTATGAGACGGCGTTACTGATAGTTGACGGTGATATTGATACCCCCAGCGGCGTTCAAATTAGATTATTTCTTTCATAAGATTACAGTAGGTGTGTGAGGAGCTCTAGAACTGCGTCTGGTGTGTTACATGCATGAAGGAAAAATCTTGGAGTCCTCAAAGGCATTTGAGATACATTTCACTTTGTTGAGGTGTACATCAGCCTTTGCTCAAAGACACAGCAAGAGGAACGAAAGGAAAGGACTGACCAACACTAACATCCAGAACATCAACTTTCCGCTTGATGACCTCTCCTCCATATCCATCCCCCCTCTCATCCCTCCTATTCCTCCAAGGCTAACTGTGGTAGATTAGCCATAGGGTATTAGGTCTCTTTTTGTAACAACTTTATTGGCTATACAGTTGAGTGCAAAAAGAATGAAGGTTGGTTCATTTTTCTGGTTCTTTCTAAGAATCTATTGTACCTCAAATGTATTTGTGTATTCTTTTACATTATGTAGTTGTGTTACACTTCCCTTGGTATGGACTAATTTCAGTGAAAGCTGGAGCCTTGAGAAGGTTTTTATTCTGGAGGCCATTTTTGGCATCTGAAAAAAAAAATATGCGCTAACTGGGGAGGTAGCCAGAACATACCTCTGGTCAACCTGAATGAGCCTATCAAAGAATCAGTCAAAAATACTGAGTGGTTAGGTCTGTAGAGGCTTGGAAAATGGCTTGTTTGTCTCAAGCAGGCCAAAAATGACCAAAA